CCCTTCCCAGACATCCCACATGTCAGTTTCGGTGCCACTCAAAATGCGACTCCACAACCTGCTAAGTTCTTCTTCAGTCTCGATCTCGATATGTAAAGTCTCGGATATTTGCAGCTAGACTTCTGACATCAAGAATAGGTACCCCGTTTCACTCGCTTCCTCCCGTTGTAAAAGAGCATCCACAACCTGATTTAATGCACCCACCCGGTACTCGACTGTAAAGTCGAACCCAAGCAATTTGCTCACCCAATGTTGCTGTGGAGAGGTTGATAAGCGTTGATCTAGTAAAAACTTAAGGCTATAATGATATGTTTTAATCAGGAAGTGCTAAACCCAAATATAAGGTCGCCAATGAGCCACGACTTTTGCCAGTCCGATGATTTCACGTTCATACGCCGGTAGTTTATGATGTTTGTCTGCAAGTTTTCGGCTAAAGAAAGCCACTGGATGGCTGTTCTGCAGTAAAATCACCTCAATTCTGCTTCCGAATGCGTCACACTCAACTATGAAGGTCGCTTTGAAATTTGGTAATGCAAGGACAGGAGAGTTAGAGAGTATGTCTTTCAATCATTCAAAATCAAGTTCAGATTCCGGGTTCCATGAGAAACTGTTGCGCCTCAACATGCTAGTCAGCGGAGCCGCGTCGATCCCATAGTCTTTGATAAACTTCCGATAGTAGCCCGTAAGACCCAGAAATCCACGTAAAGTTCGAACTCTATGTGATTTGGGCCAACAACGAATAGCTTCAATCTTTGTCTGATCTACCGCTACCCAAGAGTTGTGTACAATGTGGCCTAAATACACGACCTTCGGCCTTCCAAAAGTGCACTTTGTTCGTTTTAAGAATAATGTGTTTGATCGTAACAGACCAAAAACGATTCGTAAGTGAGTCACATGTTCTGTCATTGACCTACTATAAACTAATATATCATAAAAAAACAAGAACACACTTACGGAGATACTGCCGAAAAACTACATTCATCAAACTTTGAAATGTTAATGGGGCGTTGGATAAACCAAAGGGCATCACGAGGAACTCGAATTGACCGTGATGGGTGCGAAATGGTACCCGAAAGTTAGATCTAACTTGGTGAATATAGACTCCCCATGTAGCTCATCAAGGAGCTCTTCCACCACTGGAATTGGGAACTTATCTTTGACCATTTTCGCATTGAGCTCTCTATAATCGACACAAAACTACCATGTATTATCTTGTTTTTTAACCAGAAGCACAGGTGACGAGAATGGTGACTGACTGGGCCGGATTTTCCCTTTTATCAGCATCTCCTTACATTGTTTCTCAATTTCCTCTTTTAGAAGATGAGGATATCGGTAGGGACGAACAGCTACCAGTTTTGTGTTGTTTTTTAGGACGATTATATGGTCACAAGCGCGAGATGGGGGTAAACCTTGTGGGGTTTTAAAGATGTCTTCGAACTCTTCCAACAGCTCATCGAGGTTTGGTTCCGAATAGTTGTCTCGAGTGAGTGCCGCCAATTTTGCTATCTCTGGAGACTCCCCGTTCCATTTAATATTCTGCCCACCTACCATGAATTCCATTTCCCTAACCATAAAGTCCCATCGGGTAATGCGACTCGGAAACCGGGTTGGTGTTGGATCGGCACGCCGAGTTGTTCTGCTGCCCTTTCTGCAATGAAATTATGGGTTCTTCCACTATCGAAAAGTACCCAAGCCCCCTCATTACCGATCTTAGCCCGAACCTGGAAGGTTTGGTCTGTTTTCTCACATTTAATTGCATTTAACGAGATTACAGGCATGTCTTCATCCTCCCCGTCATCCCTTTCCTCATCGACCATCATGATACAAAACAACTTCGCGCATTTGTGCCCAATTGAAAACATCTCATCGCAGTTGAAACATAATCCTTTGGCTCGTCTTTCCGCTATTTCTGTCGTCTTGGGTCGTTTAAATATCGGGTTTCGAGTTTCTGATTTCATATTATTGTTTCCCCTGGTGTTAACTGACTTACGGGTCTATTTCTATTTGACACCGGTGCTCCAAAACTCCTTGGTTGTCCCTCCTCCGTAAGTTTGAGCTCGACATGTCTGGCTAGGTTTATAGCAAAGTATAGTATGGTGGGTCTAGCAAACTATACTTCGTAACGGGTAGCATTAGTCAAGCCTGCACAAAAATTCCAAACACTTTGCTCTGGAGTCACGCTTGTCATACTTCCCAGTAGTGACTCAAAGCCCTCACAATAGTCTTCCACCGTACCTGTTTGTCTTAGTCGCGTTAATTCACCCAATGGATTCATGCTCATTGGGGGGTCCAAATCTGATTTTGCACTCTTCAGAGAACTCGAACCAATTCAAGCGGTCTTCATTCTTCGTATGTTATTATACCACCCACTAGCCCGACCTTGTAGTGAAAAAGTGGCCTACCTAACCCAAGCTTCTATGGGGGTTTGTTGCTCTTCGAAGAATTCTTCACATCTTTGAAGCCATTTGATCGGATTACCCTTTCCATCGTATGTTGGAAACTCCATCTTGGCAAATCTTGGTACTCTACCCCCTCGGTATCCAGTATCTTCTATCTCCTCCCAATCTTTTGGTAACCCTTGATCCCTGCGGTTTGACCCCTCTGGTTTTAAGGGTTCCTAATTGTGTTTGAAAGGCTGAGGTTCACCAGTTCGCCATGATTCAAAACCCTTGCCTGTTGCTTTTCCCACTCCTTCCTGGTTCCATCATTTGCCTCTTCCAACCAACCCTCATTGGAATGAAAATTTATTGTTTGGATTTGTTCCGAAGGTGGTGTCGCGTCCTCTTCCACGCCCCTTCACCACTAGGTCATCAAAACACTCCATCTCGAAGACTTTGTCCTTGATTTCATTGTCTTCTCCCTATTCGTTGGTTTTGTTTTGGCTTAGGGATTGCAATCCTTCTTCCATCGCTACTTGCTTGGTCTGCAAGGATGACATAGCTGCCTTTAATTCGTTGTAGCTTTGTGTTTGTTGGATCATGAATGCTTCCAACTTCTTCATTAGTTCTTCCTGTTGTATCGAGATCACGAGCATCTCTGATACAAAATTTGATATGCCCGGGATTGTGATCTCGTGATTGGACCTGTATGCCTGCGATTTTCTGAAGCCGTAGGAGAAGAAGACCTAATCTCCTTAGTGAGGATACTAGGTTACACTAATTAAAAGTATGAAAAATTGATTCAATTCAAGCTTAATTTTATTTCTCTAAATTCCTCCCCTTAAATAGGGAAAACCACAAATGCTAAAAATGAAACAGAATCCTAACAAAACAGAAATCGATTGCAACACAAAAATAAACCCTTAACCTAATCTTAGTCAAATTTAAAATTGTAAATTATAAAACTCATTAAAATTTAGATGCCTTGACCTCTTTTGCTTTCATGTTATAAACCTTAACATATTTAGGATCCATAAAATTTACTAAAGCTCTTATTGATGATAACTTTCAGCAATCGAAAGCCAGCCATTCTATGTTTATTTACAAGACTTAAACGATATATGTTGTTGTTGCTCTTATTTACGTTGATGATGTGCTTCTTATGGGGAATGACAATTATAAAATCAAAGAGGTTAAAGATCATCTCCAGAAACAGTTTAGTATCAAGGATTTTGGCCCACTCAAGTACTTTTTAGGTATTGAGGTAGCTAGATCATCCAAAGGGTTTGTTATAAGTCAAAGGAAATACACTCTTGACATTCTTGAAGATTCTCATATCCAAGGGTGTCGTCCCAGTGCTTTCCCTATGGAGCAGAATCTCAAAATAGAAAAGGAAGATGCTAGTACTGAGGTAGATGTTTCAAAATACCGTCGCCTTGTTGGTAGACTTCTATATCTCACCGTGACTCGCCCTGATATTTCTTTTAGTGTTAATCAATTAAGTCAGTTCTTGATTAAACTAAGACAATCTCATATGGATGCTGCTTTTAGAGTTCTTCGTTACTTAAAGTCTACCCCAGGTCAGGGTTTATTTTTGCCTGTTGAAGGCAATTTAGACCTAATAGCTTATTGTGATGCAAGTTGGTTGAGTTGTCAATCAACAAGATGTTCTTGTATAGGCTACTTCATTACCATTGGTGGTTCACCTGTCTCTTGGAGGGCGAAAAAGCAGAGTGTTGTTGCTAGATCTTCAGCAAAAGTCGAATACCGAGATATGACAAGTACGGTATGTGAAGTGTTATGGTTGAGGTGGTTACTTTGTGATCTTGGTACTTCCCAAAACGGAGATACTTTGTTAATGTGTGACAATGAAGTTGCTCGTTATATTGTTGCTCATCATGTCTATCACGAACGCACAAAGCATGTAGAGATGGATTGTTACTTTGTTCGTGAGCAAGTATCCAGTAGAGAAATACAAACTTTAGCTATTCAGTCTGAGCATCAGCCCGCAAACATTTCTACCAAAGCTCTTGGTGCGGGTCGCTTCCAATATCTCTGAGGCAAGTTGGGTATTCGTGACCTTCACAGTCCAACTTGAGAGGGAGTGTTGAAGTCATTATCTTTTCTCTATTAGTTATCTTTGATCCATTAGTTATCTTGTTTCATTAGCTGACATATTTATCTTTTCCTAGCTTATCTAGGTTTTCTTTTATTGAGTATAAATACTTTTGGGTTGTTTGTTTTCATGATATGAATAAGATAACACAGATTACAATTTTTCTGTCAAATTTGTCAACATTTATAATTGTTTGTAACTACTTTTAATCTTAAACATTGTTTTCTTTTTGTTAAACTTATTAAAATCATTATTCTATAACTTGTTTAAATTTTTTTTGAACCATCAACTGAAATAAAAATCTTTACTATATTAGTAAACATATTGCCTCTTTCTTGAAAATTAAGAGGTACAACATGTATTACCTCATATACAATAATCTTAAGCATATAACCAAGCATATACGTGTTACACTACACGGATCATATATGTATTACACTACATGACCTTACCCTAATCTCCTAAACACACAATAGCCTCCATCAAACCAATTCTCATCCGTCTCCATGGCTGCCAACCTCCCCCACCGAAGACGTCCCATCATCAAACTAAAGAAGATCGAAAAATCTTTAAGAGCTCAGGGCCTGAAAGGAAACTCCTACAGATTCCTCTTCGGAGACCTGAAAGAGATGACACAGATGTCTCACCGCCTATGGGTTTACTTCACTCTCTCTCTCTCTCTCTCTCTCTCTCTCTCTCTCTCTCTCGCCTCTCTTTCTCTCTCTCGATCGCCATCAGTAGGAAATGGAAACCCTCTTCTTTCCGTCTCCTTCCTAATCAACTTGACAGGCGCTTCTACTCATGCCTTTCTGTTGATCCCATCCATTTCAGGGAGCCGGATTGAGAGGGCTATGCTGAAACCCTAATTTCAAATTATCATCAATGGCTAAGCGCGAATTATCAAGCACATTGAAGAACTTGAAGGTAATTATAAGCTAATTCTTGATTTTTTCAGATACTTTTCAGTCTTTACTATGCATAACTTTTTTCTCAATCCCCGATTTTTTAGTTAGAGCTAATAATTATGGTAGGCCAATTCCTTCTACCAAGGTAATCATCATTGATTTTCAAACATTTACTTTGTTTAAAGTAATTATTTGGTTAGAGTTATTCTGTTTAGAGAGCGTCACTACAACTCTGGCATTTTTATATTCGATTATGTTTACATATATAAAGTTATATCTCAAATTTTGTAGTGTTTACCTTACATGCAATGTCTATGATGGGCCTTTATGACACAACTTATTGGTTATCATGGCTTACTCGACTCTCATCATCTCCACACCCTCTGGTTTCCCATCATGGTAGTAAAGTTTACATGTTTCCAATTTTTCCCTTAGGTTATAAGTTTACATCTTTTATGTTTGGCAAAAGGTATACCAATTTTAAATCTTTCATGACAAAAAATGAAATGTGATATGATATAATGTAAATGTTGTGATGTTGTAGTATGTTGAAGTGGTCCCTGTGTTGACATGTCTTATTGGTCATAATTTCGGGGCATCAGTCGTTTATGGAGACATGTCTCATCAAGATAGATATTGGGTTCTGAATCAATTCCTTCCAGTAAAGTCACTGATATTTGTTCCCACAGATGTTGATACACAAGACCTTGACATCAAGGATGTAAGGTTAAGCTTCATGAAAAACAGAAATAAAACAAGAGTTCTGAATAATTTTATTTATGAATGAGGTGATGATGACATTGTTTCTTTGCAGGGTGGTGAATAATTATGATTTTTTGAATGGTATTGAGGTTATGTCCACCGAATCAGAATAACTAGGAGACAGGGTATTGGAATAGTTTAGGTTTTGTTGTGAAAAAGTTTGATTTTCAAGGGCATATTTGTCCATAAATATTAGGATAGATTTAGAAATAAAAGTAATGATTAATCTGGAGTATGGAAGAGTTTTTTAAATGAAGGGGTATATTTGGAATAAAATAAAAGTGCAGGAAAAACATGAATACTTTGAGAAAAAATGATTTATTAAAAATTCAATTTTATTATGCATTATATTATAACTGATTATAAACTTTCATCCCATGGTGGTGATTTTGTATGCATTTGTTAATTCGAGCCAACGATTAATATAAATGATTCATAAATTAACTATCAGGGCTCAAGTACATTTAAGACATCGAGAAAGTATAATGACAATATATGATATCTTTAAGCCGATAATCCATGGTTCATAATTTAAATTGAGCCAAGTTCTTAATTTTTCATGTATTCAAAATCTAAACCATAGATTTGAAGCGTTGGACATAATTTTTTTTTTTTAATTTCAATATTTAAATGTTATGAACCTACATCCTACATCCTTAAAATGTAGATATTCTCAATAGGATTTGTGGGGCCACTCACCCTTTAATTTATTTTGGTTTTAATTTTGATATCAAAACATTAATTTTCATTTTGCCAAGCTTTGATTTTGGTTATGGCTTGCTTTAGTTTTGGTCTAGACACGGAGTAAGTTTGTGTTTTTCCTTTTTTTTAACAAAACCAATAAAATGTTGATGTTGACCTTTCATGAACCTTAAAAGAAGAATCAATATTGTACAGATTTTTTTGTGATCTATATTTGATAATACATGTTTATTAGCTTGCTTATCTAAGTAATCCTTTCCAACTTTTACAAAATTGAATTAGTTGTATTCAACAAACAAAATATACAACACATTTCACACAACAAGTAGTTTATCTATATCAAAGCAATAACTAATTTTAGATTAAAAGATAAAAATTTATAAAACATAATATTTTTCATAGATTAAAAGAACCATTGCATCAAACAATTTAACAACCGACACACTCTAATTAAAAATGAAAATGATGACTTTAATGAAAAACGTTGATGAAATTTTATTTCAAAACCAGAATAAAGTAATTTTACATTTAACCCAAAACAATATTTTATACTTAATATAATATTAACCTAAAACAATAACATTTTTTTAATTTTCAACCGAAAACATCATATTTTTACTTTTAACAAAGAAAAAATAGTGTACTTTAATTTTTAGTCGAAATCAGTAACCAACTTAACTTTCATTGATTGATTTGGATTAGTGTAGGCTTTCATCGATTTGGATCAATGTATTCGTCGCTTAATGCGGGTAAACAACTAATATATTAATAAAGAGAGACTCCCTAGCAAGATGCTAGGAAGAACATACAATGAAATAATTTGTTTAAATAATTTAGTTTATTTAAAACTCATTCTTAAAAATTCTTTAAACATCATTCAAACGTTTTCTTTTCGAAGTAGAAAGCGTCAAATTTATTAGACGGTGGCACTAACGTCCGCATGTTCGTAACCCCGTTATCCAATAAAATATAGCCATGTCAGCAAATAGAAAGATGCAAGTGGACCCCACTATCGAACCCTAAAACATTCTCACAAGTTTTCTGACTCTCTCTTAATTAAATAAAATTCATACAAAAGTTAAAAATAACAAATAAAATATATTACGTGAATATTATTTTATTAAACTACAAAAGAAATTTTATATCGAATAAAAATCAATTATTATAATTTACAAACTTTCAAATTTGAAACTAATTTATGGTAAAAAAAAAAAAAAAAAAAAAAAAGTCAAATATTTAATGAGTGGAGTTATTAATGGCAACTTACCTTTGTTAAAATGTAAAATTTAAACCCCGTATTAATTATTCATAAAACCGTTAGAGGTATTATCTTTAGCAACAGACAATTGCCCTAAAAAAATGGAACCATTTTTCTAAAAGTTCCAAAATAAAGAAAAATAAAACCCACCGAATTTTTATTTTTTATTTTCAAAAAGAAAAAGAAAATAATTTCTCCCCATTATCTTGTCTTTATATTGAGAGCTCTGTTCTATAAAAGACTCAACACCCTTCTCTCTCCAAACTCCCCCCCACAAGATTTTACTTTCTTTTCACACAATCACCACGGAAGAAAGAAAGAACAAGACAAAAAAAAAAATGGAAGAATTTTCATCATTATGGAGTTATCAAGAGGTGGGTTATGATTCATCATTCATTCTTTGTTTGATGTTTAGTTCTTGCGTATATACCGTTGTTTTTCGCGATAAATACTGGTTTTTCCGCCATTGTTGAGTTTACTGACTACAAATTGAGCTCAAAATCCGACGTTTCACTTCTGGGGTTTAACCAATTTGTGGATTACTTGCATTGATTATCAATTTAATTGAATTTTGAAATGGGCGTTTCGTTAATTAGTGAGTTATTTCAATGGGTTTTTTTTAAGATGATGATTCTCTCTTCAGATTCTGATTAAACCAAATTAAATTCAGATTTCAAGGTGTCTCTTCTCGGTTTTTTGACAATATGTTAATTTATTGTGTTTCTGGTTCATTTCGATTCCCTTTTGAAGTAAATTTTGGTCAATTTAATTGTCTTTCGATGACTTTTGGAGTAAATTTTGGTCAAATCAATAGAATTTAGTCGCTCCATGTTCTTCATATACCCTGTGAAACGATTTTACACAACATAAAGGACATTTTTCTTTAGATTCTTCTTGAAATTCTCAATTCTGAGATCCCTGTGGATTTTTGGTCACATTAGTGTCATTTAATTGTATTCATATAAGTTTGATTGCATGCTCTGTTTATTAGAAACATTCATGCAATAATTATTTGTACGATATATATTTGCATCACTCTGTACATTTTTACTGTCAATTTCTGATTTCCTTTTATGAATTTGGGTATATATTTATTTACGGTCCTTTTTTGGTTATAAAAAAGGTGTCTTTTTTGTCCACTTTTTCTTGGCTTTTTGAAAAGTTTTACATTCTCCATCATATTATTTGTTCATGTAGTGATAAAATATGATATATAATCCTTGTGCCAATAGAAGTCTTTGATGTTGATTTCTCTTAACCATTTATTGTTATTAAACACGATAAATATTTTAATAAAAATGTCATTTTTACCACATCAAGATTGTTGGTTGATCGGTATATGGTCTGCCTTTAGGTGTTTATGGGCCCTTGGGATCCGATCATCGGTCCCATTTACCGTATAAAAGTCACTTTTGACTTTTCATACTTTATTTCATTTTGTTCTAATATTGTGTTATCGATTTTATGTGGTAATCTTTAAACAATATTTGAATTTGACTAATTGTTATCTTGAAATCTTGAAATTGCAGAACATCGATGAACTTAAACAAAAACTTATGTACACGACACTTGAATTAGAAGCAGTAAAAGCCGAAACCGATGAAAAAATGAAAAGAAACACGGAATCGATGAAACAAGTGTTACAACTTTTAAAGATTGCTTATCAAGAAAGAGATGAAGCAAAAGATCAACTTCAAAAGCTAATAATCAAGATTATGCCAACAAATGACCAACAAATCTTCAATCCCACAAACCCTTCAATCCCTAATTGTTTCATGAACGAACAAATTCAACATCATCAAGGTCCATTGATGATACCCGCAAAAGCAAATTCAAGTATCACCGAATCAAATAGCCTCTCGGATGCATACAATCATAGCTCATCTCCCGTTGACTCTTTTTTTGACCCAATTCGATCTCCCGAGTTTTCTAATATCAATGTTGAAACCCCATTTGTTCAAGATTATAACGTACCAAAAGTGGATCAAGCTACTTTGATGATGGAGGGGATGATTAGAGGCAAGAGTTTGCCGCAAAAAGGGAACTTACTCCAAACAGTGTTGGAAGCGGGCCCGCTTCTGCAGACACTGCTTGTAGCGGGCCCGCTTCCTAGGTGGCGGAATCCGCCACCCTTGCAAGCTTTCCACATCCCACCAATGATGGCTTCATCGGATCATATTCCTACAACTCAAAAACAGGATGTGGGGAGCCCTTTTAAGGTATTGATGAAACAATCGCAACCGTATGCTGAGATGGGGTGCGGGAGTTCTTCTCAGATGATGGCGGTTTCCGGTGGTGGTGGTGGTGGCGGCAACGGTGGTGGTGGTGGTGTTTTGAGTTTTGGTGATGTTAATTTTGGTAGTAATTTTCAAGGGAGTATGATAGGTTGCCCTGGTGCTAGTAGTTTTGGCACAATTGGAAAGAGGCAAAGGTTACATTAAGTTTCCAAATTTTTATTTTTACTTTTTGTAAAGGGTTTTTGATATATAATATGATGGGGTGTATATGGTGAATTGGATATCCTGTTTTTGGAATTTTGATTTCATGAAGCTGATTTTATTATATCGTTTTAGTATAATTTTCATTTATGTCAATTTCATACTTTTTGTCAAGTTGTAACATCATTCGACATGAGAATCTTAAAAACGATCTAAAGATTGTTTCCTGTGTTTTAACAATATAAAATCTCACTGGAAATTGTATGATTGAAGGGTCATCAAGAAATCTAGGGTTTGGAAAAGATTACATTCATTCTTTGTTATTTTATAAGTGTCAAAAATGGCACCAAACAAATCACCTTTCAAGAAGAGTCACAAAATGGGTCGGATTTCGGTTAGCCAATAACTTAAATTATCTCGTATACTTTTTTTGTATAAATATATCAATTTGAATAGTATTGTAGATACATGTGTGTGAAATTCAAAATCATATCGGATTATCTCGTATACTTTTTTGTACAAATATATCAATTTGAATAGTATTGTGGATACATGTGTGTGAAATTCGAAATCATATTTGATTATAGTCCGAACAAAATGGTAGTCAGCTTCATAACTTCGTATCTGACACATCTGATGAGTCATTTTTATATGCTTTCGGACTAATTAAAGGGATATCAGATCCATATATATGACCCATCTTTGTTCTTTTTGT